TGTGCGCTCTCGAGATGCACGGAACAGGAACATCACTCGGTGATCCTATTGAAATAGGTGGGGCGATGTGTATATTGAAGAGCGCAGAACACGTCGAAGTACATGCAATGAAGTCAAGAATGGGACACTCTGAGTGTGCCGCGGGTATGGGGGGACTGATTTGTACTTTGCGCGGGCTTGAGTCTCGGATAAGCCCGAGTATCATGCACCTGCAATCACTCAATGTGCATGTTTACGAGGCTATGTCTTTGCAGGGCGCTCACGAGAGCTCAGCCGGTATGTCGCGTTCAATGGCAGCCTCAAGTAAGTATACCCAACATCAAGCTGCTTGTGGCGGCACCAGCTCATTTGCCTTTCAGGGTACAAATGCACACATTTTGCTCGTTTCTTCATTGGCACGGAGAAAGTCGAAATGTTCGGAGTTGTCAATTGCTTTCAACGGCACTTATCGTGTTAATCCGTACGCTCTGCCACATCTGATGATACATCACAGGAACAATTATATTCATCAGCTTCAGTACAGCGCACAAGTTAGCAAGGATCATGATAAATCACCTGAGTCCATTATTGGCACGGTCCATTCGATAATTAGCACGACTTCTGGGAAAACTTGCTCCTTTATAGTGAAGACAACTTTTCAACGTTTCGACACTACAAGCAATTTTACTATATGTTTGCTCACTTCCAAATTTACGGTGTACACTTTCGACTCCGTTGCCGTTTGTACAGGTGGGATTTCGCATGGAATTTGTGTCCACGGCCAGAACTACGCGATGCCAAGCGTTGTCTTTTCGTGCGTGAGATGCAGAGATGCCATCGTGCAATATGCTACGCTGTCGCATGAAAAAACATGCAAGCAACAAGTTAAATTGATGTCGACACTGTCTCATATGAACCACATCAGTATGATCATTCTATCGAGGCATTCGCGTGATCGTGAGAATACGACGATTTCGATTTCAAGATTCGGAAACTCTCGTGTACGTGAAGAAACGAATGTCAGCACTTTGGAGTATGTAGCAGGCACCCCATATCATGATCCGGGGCAGCCGAAAGCAGCTTCGAGCATGTATCAGACTTGCTGGATGTACGAATCGGCTATAAAACGAGACACACGCAACAGCGAAACAGACACAGCTAAATTTATCAGCTTTGCAAAGTACGCAAGCCATCGCCACACAAGGAGCCAAAATCACCCTATAAATTTTGAATTGTGTGATTTGATCCAGCAGAGTGTTGGAAATGTGCATGATTTGTACGAATCGCTGCGTCATACGTTCTCCAGTGTTATGAGTCTACTTAATGCCGTACGCACGAACACACGAAAAAACTACATTCTAGCACACGAAACATTGTACAACGCTGACGTTTTACAGTGTGGTTACGCCGATTGCACGTTCGAGGGTATCGAGGCACTCTTTTATGCGCACCAACTGGAGTGCCCATCAATTCATATTTCACCACTGTCAAAATCATACAGGCACAAGCATAGCAATTTGAGTGATTCTGCGTGCAGAAAAAGAATTATTGGTGGGCGACTCCTAACCGAAAAGGTAGTAAACACTCTCACGAGAGAGACGTTTAAACATAGGAACTTAGATGCATTTACGGGATGTCGAACTTGTGTAGCTTTTGGCGGTTCGCGTGGCATTACTACCTCACTAATAGATCATTTGTTTGCCTGCAAACCTACACTACATGATTATCTCATCATTGGACGGACTGGTAAAAGCTGCTCACTTCGTTTCCATGTGTGCGGTGCACACGCTCATCGTTCTGATCGAATTATTCGAATATTGAGAGGCTCTGTGTGTGATCAACACGAGCTTGCTAATTCAAAGATCAGATCTGATTCTTGCCAAGATGAGAAAACGTGTGCCATACATGCAGCAGGGGTATTTGACCTTGTTGCGATCAAGTTTATGACGCCAGAGCAGCTTTTCAAAACCTTCGTACCGAAGGTAGCGACTGCTGCCGATGAGCTGATGGATGTTGGTTTTCATCTCCATCCGATTCATGATGATCGTAAGGACATATTTTTCTCTTCTTTGAGCGCCGTGTTTGGCCTAAGTAGAGCTGCACATTATGCAGCCTCTAATGCATTTATCGACGGTTTATCTCAAACTCTACACAACTTTGGCGGTGACGTCGTATCCATTCGATTTGGACCCTTTAAAGACGCGGGAATGGCTTCATCGACCACTTGGGGCTCTGCATTCGGCCTAAGTTCCATACGACCATGTGAAATATTCAATATGATATCAAGATACCACTCACTTCATGCGTGCCCTGGTGTCATATGTGCTCAAATCGATGTCCACAAATACGCTTTGAACTACACCTCCATGTTAGGGTGTAAAGAAGGAAGTTCGAGGCACTGGGGTTTGTTGGATGAGCTGCTGGGTCGTCAAATTGTACGTGCTAAATATCAATTCTCGACGGATGCAAAGTATGCGAAAAA